GGTTTGTACAAATTGAGTGGTTTGCATTTGATCGTTCCCCTATAAACAAAATGAAAAATTATGATTGGTTGATATATATATATCAAATTTAGCAATAAATGGTCAATACGTTTATTGACTTTATTACTTTTCCTTGCAAAAAGTATTAGCGTCTTCGTTCATGAGTTTGAGTTTTATCATCACATAAAGTATTGAAAAATGATTTATTCAAATTCTACTTTTTATGAGATTTAATTAACAACAAGAAGAAATCTGAGCTCGTAATATACTTTCTTTTTTATTAATAACGACAAAAACATCATGTTGATTAAGGAACACGGTCAAAGCAGGGTTACGTGTGTGCACGACTCGGCCATGGGATCAATCTAGTTGGTTTCACCCTGTTTCTTAATCACAAGTGATTATTTGACTCCAAAATCACATCTAATTTAACTCTACAATCACATATGATATAGGCGTTCTTGTGTTTTCTTACTCTGATCATATTCACACGTTTAATCATTCTCTTCTCTCTCTCTCTCTCTCTCTCTATATATATATATATATATATATACACACACACACACACACATACATACATAGATACATACATACATACATACATACATACATACATACATACATACATACATACATACATACATACATGCATACACACATACATACATACACACATACATACACACATACATACATGAAGAGTTTTAAATGAGAACGCCTTTATTTTATGAAAAAACATGATAACACCCTTATTACATGTGCTACTACACGTGAAGGGACTTAGTATTGTACAGGCGATTTGTCCATGGACCTAGGTCTCGCTAAAGATCACATTCGTTCTTGGTTTAGTATCACATGTGATAATACACGAGGAGTGAACCCAATACTACAGGGCGCGACTTGTTCAGTGACCTAGGTCATGCCAAAGATCGCACACGTCTTTGATTAAGTATCAAATATGACAAACTATAATATCACATATAATATAAAAATATTCTCACGTTTTCATAAAATGAATGTGCTTCTAGACAAACCATTCGCGTATGTATAATATAAACTAGAAAGGTACTCGCGCAATGCAACAAGATATATCTTTATTTTAATGTTTTATTTCATTTTTTGTTTTTTTTGATATAATACGGTTTATGTGGTTTTGAGAAAGATAATATTTACACTTTTGAATAAAAATAAGTTTGAAGATATCATAAAAATTTGAAAAAATATATCAATATTAATATTAAATTAACTATTTAAAAGTTCTTGTTTTTTAATTCAATTTTTTATTATAATTCAATTTAGGTTTAATAATAAAGTAATTTATTTTTAACCTTCTTATAAAGATAATGATTCTCTTAGAACTCAATAATCATTTTAATTATATTTTAGATTTTATATTAAAAAAAAATTATATTTGATTATGTTTATCTACAGTTAGTTACACGAATTCAAACATGGAGCTTATTAAGTTGTACGTACGCACAATTTAGTTGTAATCTTGAATTTTTAAGTAATATGGATCAATAAACAGTACTTCATGTATAAAAGATGGTTTTTATGAGTTTTTGTCAAATGCATTATAATATAGTATATAGATTATGATATTAAAGGTATTGTAATTATTTTGAAATTTAATAAACTAATTACTTGATAAAATCATATAAAAATATATTCGAATAATATATATTCCAATATAAATTTATTAAAGGTAAGCATTTAATTAAAATTGATTTATAATCCAATATTTTTTATAATTATAGAAAATAGATACCATATATATATATATAGAGAGAGAGAGAGAGAGAGTATATTTCAAATGTAATCATGTCCATTTATACAAACAATACAACCCAATCGATTGAGATATTTATGGAAATAATGAAAGTTTATTTATTATGATTTGAATATTGGTGGAAGATGATTTGAGTTTATTAATTATGATCAATACTTTATATTAGGAAACAATCAAAACTTTTATGAAATCACATATTCATCAAATTAAATAGACGGTTGAGATTGAGTTATATTGATTGTACAAATGTAAAAGGTTGCATAATAACTCACATCTCTCTCTCTCTCTCTCTCTCTCTATATATATATATATATATATATAGGGTTGGGTTCACGTGATACCAATGGTTTTTCATGAGACCCGTAAGACCAATTTATGTTTATTGATCAACTTTATAAGTTAATGATCTAATGGTCTAAAATTACACGGTAGCAATTTTATAATTATTGAGAATTCTCGTGACAATTTTGTGATTATGAATATTGAGAGTGTAAATCTAATCCAATGGTTAAGAATTGATCTTACGGGTCTCACGAAAAAACCTTGATCTTATATGATCCCAAGTCTATATATATATATAATTAGGATGTCGGTTCTTTTGAAGTACGTGTTTTGTTCATGCATACCACTTTTTTCCAATATTTGGTAAGCCACCACCCACATTAATATCAAACCTAATCAATCCTTTTTCACATGCATCACTTTCATACCATACACATATATATTATCATGTGATATTTTTTGTACAACTATCTAAGATTAAATGAATCCCATGAACACAATAACAACACTCTTGAAAACAGTTTATTTCTAGTTCTTATTCACATGTTAATTTTCTATACCACATATTAAGACATTCATATGAATATTCATATTCATATATAACGGTCTCGGAAATCTTTTCAAAGGTAGTCATATAAGGACCACATCCAATACCATCAAATACGTTAATATATTTTATAGTTTTGTTTGACAAAAAGGCTAATATCGTCCAAAAATACACGTTTGTGGACCATATTCTCAGTGGTAGAACGATAAAGCATCAATTTTCTTTCTCGTTTGGTTATGAGATGTGACGTTCATTGACGGGTCTAACATATCATTAAGGCGTTATGGTCTATCTTTTGATTTAATTTGTAAATGACTAATATGGATTTAAATGTTATATATATAACTAAAATAATATTGTATGCTTTTAAAATAATATAAAATCATTACTACTAATTTCTTCATATCGTATGTATTAACATCAAAACTTTAACCATTAGGGTGGTGTCCGATTGGTTTCAGCTTGGACCCCAAAGGCCAAAAGTGTCTGGAGGTCTCAGTTTCGAATCCAATGTGGAATAAAAATACCCTTGGCCATGAAGGTTCAAATGCGATAACTTCGGACTACCTACAAAACAGGTGGTCATCACAGGATTAGTCAGCTCGCATAGCTAGTTGGATATCCTCCTAGTTAATCAAAAAAAGGTTAATCGTCTTAAAACATACAATACTAGAAAAATGGGTATTTTCGGCCGACAAAATCCGTCGAAAATATATCGGCGGATTACTGGCGGGTTACCGACAGACAACAAAAAAGTCAACTTTTGTTGACTTACGCCAGAAATCCGCCGGTAAAAATCTTTCGACAATTTTGGCGGCTCTTACAAATTATTTTTTTCCAAAATTATTAACTCTAATTACAATAATTTACCGGCGGATATTTCCGCCAGTAATTGATCCATTTCTAAAAAAACTTAAATATTTTCTTAATTTAATCAAGATTTTTTAAATAAACCGGTGAAAATTTTCCGTCGGCCAAAATTTGCAGGAAAATTGATCACCGACACCTGTATTTACGACGGTTATATCTGTCAGAAATCTTTTTTTTCGGCGGATTTCTGATGGATATAACCGTAAAAAATGTGGATCTGTTTGGTAGTGATATTATACATGAATTTTGGCTCGTTAATTTAATTTGTTTTTAAGCCACAATTTTAATTTAATTTATTAATTAAAAACAAAAATATAAAATAAATCCATGAAATTGTAAAGTAGATCTATATTATTTCGTATTGAATAATAACAAATGAATAAATAGATCGATGGTAAAAGGGTCAAAAGATGGGTCCGATCCGACCCACATTTTCAACAAACTACCAGCCGTCAAAGACATTGACTTTTCTCGCACCTTTCAATTTTGTGGTCACGTGCGACATGCCGCACCGCACGGAGAAAGTAGACAATCCCCATAAAGATGCATATCTTAATTTTAATATTAAAATTAAATTATTTTAAATTCAATTTAATTTAATCTTTTTTATTAACATAGATATCTAACTCGTTATGCAAGTCGACCTAGAACGACCGACTGCTTTAAGAGATACTAAAATCTGAAGTTTTATTTTAATTTTGATTAATAAGAGGTGGTGCTGAAATCTGAAATTTGATTCAATAAGACTATTTCTTTTTGTAAACTGACAAACGTCTGAAGTCTGGAATCTGAATCAATAATCTCTTGATTTTCATAAAATTTACATTGCCGAAATTCATCTCAACTATTGTTTAACAAATGGAACACAGTAAGAACCTTTTGGATACCTTTCACACTTTTGATACTATAGGCAATGCCGCCGGTGAATTTGTTTGTAGAAAGATCAATACTTTTGATAGAGGATAGATCTCTGATAGAAGTTCTGCATCTTTCACATTAATTTTTTAAACTAATCTATACATACAAAAATTATATACATATACATATATAGAGAGAGAGAAGGTGGGGATGTGCATTTCACGTAGGTGTGATGTAATGAGAAAATATTTTGAAGGGTATTTTGGGTATCTCAAATGATGGTTTTAAGATTAAATTATTGGTTAAATGGTTAATTATTCAAACCAAATTTTAAATCTCAAAGACTCCTTTAAGAAATTAAGCTTTACAAACTCAAATTTGGATAGAGTCAAACTCAGTCTTAGAAAAGAAGTTGCAGACGAAACTTCTATCTGGGACCCACACTGCCACGTGGACAAATCATGACGCACGGCCTGACGCACTTTTTGCAAAACCCTAATCCCCACACACACTACATTCACACACACACGTATTTAAAAAAAAGTCAAAGTTTTTGGTCTTTACGTCTCTCCTCCTTCTTTATATACCCTTCTTCCTTCCACCATTAAAAGATTCTTGAAAACTCAAATCTCTCTTCCTGAATTTTCTTGATTTATGGGCAAATATAGCTTAAGACCAACCTTGGATACTTCTGAGCCATTGTTGTTACTGAACCAGAATAATACTCGGTGGAACCCGTTTGCTATGGCTCACGGTGGCGCTGCAGCATCTCCGCCGTATCATGTGGCGGCCGAGGGTGAGAATTCTCACCGGAAAGTTTTGGCTGAAATGGATCTTTTCTCCACAAGAAACCAGATCAGTAATAAGGTTGTTGTCAAGAATGAGAATTTCCATGCTAATGATCTTGATGTAAATGTAAGTTTGTAAGTGTGTATATATATATCGTTTCTTCGGTTTATTAATTGTATGATTGCTTATTATGATTGGTTTTCTCATTTGATAGACGGGTTTGAATCTTGTTACGCAAAGTGATCGATTTGATGGGATCTCGTCAAATGGGGATGAAAATCGAACAACAAATAAGGTACTTGTTATATTATACGTGATGCAAATGATCGTTTTTTAGTGGTTTTGATCTAGAATTTCGTTATTATTTGGATGTAATTTTGTTTTTTATAAGACAAATATATATATATATATATATATATATATATATATGCAAATGGATGAGTTAAATGAGTATGATGTATGTGTGACACTTTTGGACCACAATACTTGTTCAAAAAGAGCCAAAAATCAGGGTTTGAATCGATGCACACGTTTGTAGCCTATTTGTCTATCGATAGTTTGTTTTGAGATACAATATTGAAAGAAGCAAAATCGTTTGATTTTAGTGTCGTAAATTGTTTTGATGTAGATGTGATTTATATGAAATCGTATAGGTGATAAGATAAACATAACGTGAGTTGTGAGTTAGGAGGTACGGTGTCCACACGCAATTTGTTGTCTTTATGGATTGTAACTTAGAAAGTCAAAACTCATTCAAAAGCCTACGAGTTCTCGTTTAGAAGCCTCTGATTTCTTTGCAAAAGTTTACGGGTCTTTTTCAAAAGCTTCTGCTTCTGAAGTACCTTCTGATTTGTGCTTCATCTTATACAAAAACTAATCTATACTACCTTATAAACTAGATTTATCAAAAGTCTTGAAAACAATTTTTAATGCACAAAGTGCTATACATTTATGCACAAAGTCTTAAAAAAACTCATAATGCATTAAGTACTACTACTTTATGCATTTAGTCTTAAAATATCTTAATCTACAATTAAAATAACATATAGTACGAGTTATCCATGCACATCATTACCTTTTTTTTATGTTTCTAAAATATTTTTGATATATTTCACTCGTGTCTTCACCCTCTCATACCTATGTCTTCTCCCTATCCCCCAATGTAAGATTCAAACTGATATTCATCATGAGTTATTAAAAGTTATCTCATTCATCTCTCATTCAATTGCTCTAGAACTCTTGGTCTTGCTCTCGATCTCCTGATTCTTTGCTCTTGGTATAAATCAAACACATTTGTGCAGTCGTTTAAATATGTTGGATTTTAAATATATTTGATTTTAAACTGTCAAACATTTTTTTTCATCGATAGCTTGTAATTGGAACCATAACTTTTATTTATTCAAATTGTATTAATATGGAAAGACCAAGTGTAACTTATAATCTTCTCTAATAAAACCAGAGAAACTTCAAAATCGTTAAAATCCACGGCTCCCGCTGCATTGCGCGAGTACACAACTAGTATACAGTTATTTATTCAGTCTGACTGATCAAGAGATCATCGAAATCTTAGTGATATTGTTGATTAATTTGATTATTACTCATTAATCTAAATGTTCTTCATTAACTAATTATGCTTTTATGTTAATAATCAGTTGGCAAATCTACAAAATGAGTTGCAACAAATGAACATAGAAAACCAAAGGCTAAAAGAGATGTATTTACAAGTGAGCAACAATTACAATGCCTTACAAATGCATCTAGTGACCCTAATGCAACAACAAGAACAAGAGATGAGAAATGCAAGCATTCAAAATCAAGATCAAAACGTCGATCGTCCTTCTCATCAAGGTCCGGTAACGGTTCCCAGACAGTTTATGGAACTCAGACAAAGTACCAATGAAATGACGTCTCGTGATTCTTCCTCGGAAGAGAAGACGCAATCGGGCTCGGCGTTGAATGCAGTTGAATTGTCGAAGAATGTTGATAGAGATGGTAAGAGTACTATTGGTCGGGAGGATACACCAGATTCAGATGTATGGATGTCTAACAAAGTTCCCAAATTGGTCGTCCCTGAAAACGCTGACCAGGCAAATGAAGCAACGATGCGTAAAGTCCGTGTTTCAGTACGGGCACGTTCCGAAGCACCAATGGTAATTAATTCACTTCAATTTGATTCTACTCATTCAAAACTTAAACTAGCTATATATAGTATGCAAGACTTTTGTTAACTCCTAGAGATCTAATTATATTATCTTATGATATACAGATTACCGACGGATGTCAATGGCGAAAGTATGGCCAGAAAATGGCGAAAGGCAACCCATGCCCACGTGCATATTACCGTTGCACGATGGCAGTGGGGTGCCCAGTTCGAAAACAAGTTCAAAGGTGGGCAGAGGATCAAACAATCTTAATAACCACATATGAAGGGACTCACAACCATCCTCTCCCGCCAGCCGCAGTCGCAATGGCATCGACCACATCGGCTGCAGCCACCATGCTGCTCTCGGGTTCAATATCAAGTGCCGATGGTTTCATGAACCCTAACCTATTGGCTCACGCAATTCGACCCAACTCCTCCGGTATCGCAACCATATCAGCATCAGCCCCATTTCCAACAATTACCTTAGACCTTACCCACCCTCCAAATACGTTTCAAGGACCCAACAGTTCAATCCAATTTGATGGTCATCATCAACCACCATCACAATTTCCCCCATCGGCGCTTGCAATGCCATTACAAGCATTTCATCACGGTGGCGGTGGAGCCACCCTGTACAACCAATCAAGATTCTCCGGTCTTCAATTATCAAACAACAAAGTGATCTCCAATCAACCACCACCCCACCAGATTGCAACACCACAACTCCACCAATCTCAGTTATCAAATTCCATCAGTGCTGCCACTGCTGCCATCACCGCCGACCCAAACTTCACTGCAGCGTTAGCCGCCGCAATCACATCCATTATGGGCGGCGGTGGCAACAACAACGGTGCTAATACCTTTCCTTCCAACAACAACAACGAGACCAACAACACTTACAGCTCCAAACATGACCAGCAGCTTCAATAGGAACTGAAAGTTGGAGTTATCTTCCAAATTCTTTTCTTCTTTTAATCACCATTTTTTCATATTTACAAGTATTTAATGTGAATTATGTTTTCTTATCGTTCATATTCTTGGGTGGAAGTACAAATCTGTTATATGATCATATACATTTCTTTCTTTGTTTACACAAGATTTTCAATGAAGGTGGTGATGAATGTGGTGGTTGTTTTATTTGACATGAATTGATTACTGATATTTAATATTGATTAAAGTCGTCATTTTGAGTTTGAATTTTAGTTCTTGGTTACTTTCCTTGTACGCAACTGGTTGAGTCTTGAATGGTGGTTCGACTATATAAATACGAAGCTGACTTTATATATGGGTTGGGTTGACGTGAGACTAAGAGTTTTTCATGAGATCATAAGACCAATTTATGATTTAATGGTCTAAAGGTGCACGGTGACAATTTTGTGATTATTGAGAAGTCTCGTGGCAATTTTGTGATTATGAATGTTCAGATTGTAGATATAATCCAAGGGTTGAGAATTGGTCTTACGGGTCTCACGAAAAACCTTTGATCTCACATGATCTCAAGTCTATATATTTATATATATCAAATTGGAAAATGGTTATTTTTTTATTGTATTTTCTTATGTCATTAAGATGGAATTAAGTCCTTCCTTATCGTTTCCAAAAGGGTTTTTCATAAAATCGATTTAAAGATAATTATCCAAAGGAGAAAGTCAAGATTGTGATATACTTTACCTTCGATTTAGTCTAACATCGTGTTAACATAGCATCTGACGTGTTAGGAGTGCTTATGGGTTGGGTTGATCGGGTTGAAGACATTTGAATAACCCAACCTAATGCTTGCGGTTTGAAAAATCTTATCCCAACCCAACCTAAACTGTACGGGTTGGTCGAGTTGATACTTTGATATATTAAAATATTATTCTAACCTTGAATATGTTGTTTTTTTACTCATAATTTCTTTTTCATCATCAACTATTTGATACAACTTATCCATACTTTTTACATATATCACATTCAATTAATTTTCTCATACTCAACATATATACGAATAAGTTATATAGAGATGTGAATAGATTGAAGAACATATGTGATAGTGTAATTATCTAATGTATATATTAATAAAAATTCAACAATCATATTAAATCAAGAAATACAAGGATATCGGGTTCATCAAATAATAGTAACTCAATATCAACCCAAAACCTATAATTTAAAAATATTACAACTGGATTAGACATCGTGTTGCTTCAGGTTGAGTTAAAATTTATGTTTAAAATTCCATATACCCTAATTATATCTTACTTTTAAGATCATAACCAAATTGACCTTGCTACTACCCATTGAAACACTATTTCTTGTAGGGGAGAACATCATACCTACAAATGAAATAACAAAAATCCTTTTGACTACCAAATTGAGTTTGGTACTTAACCTACAAATGAATCTGTTTATAAAACATCGTACCTAAAAAATCGATGCGTTTCCACATTCACTGATCGGAAAACACGGAGGTGTCTAAACTAGAGATGTAATCGACTATGAGTGGTGGTGGGTTTTTCAATAGGTTTTGGGTTTCTACGACGTTGATCAAATGTATGAATTCATAACGTTGTTGTTCAGTTGCGATCTTAAGGCTTTGATTAGGGGTTTTTATATTAGTTGGTTTTAGAATAAAGTCGTTCGGTTTCTTAGTTTCTTTTTTTTCTAATTAGTGCTTCTGAATTGTTTTTTTTATTATGGTGTTATTAATGTTCTTATGCAAGATGTTCTTTATCTTTATAATAATGTTATAGTTATATTGGACAATTTTTAATGAGTTTTACTTGTAAAATGACCAAAATACCCTTCATGTAAATGACATATGATTATAGTTAACAGATAAGACATGACAGAATTAGTTGGAGGACCAAATTAAACCACGTGAGATTGGTTTGTAATAAATGAGTTGTAGGGGCCAAAAATCATATGGAGCAAATCCATATCTTAGTCTTTAGTTATTATTTTTGGACTTTGGTGGAAAATGTAACAATCTATGTTCCAAAATTAGCAAGGTTTGGAAGTTTGGGTAATAAAGTGTGTGCACTTGGATATTTGAGGGACCATTTTTGTAAATTGGAGACTTAGGAGAGGAATTACTCCTCTTCTTTCTCATTATCAGATATATATACATAGGGTTAGATTCACGTGAGATCAAAGGGTTTTTGTGAGATCTGTGGAGACTAATTTATGTTCATTGATCAACTTTATAAGCTAATGATCTAATGGTCTAAAGTTGCACAATGACAATTTTGTGATTATTGAGAAGTCTCGTGGCAATTTTATGATTATGAATGTTGAGATTATAGATCTAATCCAATGGTTGAAAATTGGTCTTACAAATCTCACGAAAAACCCTTGGTTTCACATGATCCCAAGTCTATATACATATATATATATCTATACTATACTAGAAG